TCAAACAAAATATTGGATTTCAATATAACAAACGAAGGTGTGTATTAAGGAATCAAATTTAAACTTATATATAATATTAATTTTAAGGACTTATTCTCTCAAATTTATTCATTTCAATTTCCAGTGGATCGAAAATTTTATAAAGTAGAATTATTGTCATTGTTATTTAAGCGATGTTTTATTTTCTCTTCAAGATTTTTATCGTCGAATTCAATGAATTGTTTAAAATTTACTGAAAAATAAAATTTCCATTTTGTTAAAACAATTCCGTAAAATTGTTCTGTTAGATTGAATTTCTCTTACATAAATATTTTAATAAGTTCAATTAAAGTTTATTAAAAGAAAGTTAAATTTCAATTCAAATTAAAAAAATTCGACGTTAAATGAAAATTTCTATTTACGTGAAAATTTGATTCATAAATATTTCTCTTTTCTAATGGCGATATGATAAAAATTCTATGGAATAAATTTCGAATCACTGGAAATTCGTAATGTTTCTAAGAAAATATTAATCCCCTTCTTGATTTTACTGTCTAAAAAAATTATTTCAGAAATTAATTTAATATTAGTTTAAAAAACGGGAAATTAAATTCTAATGTTAGGCCTCGGATAGTATAACTTTTTCGATTATTCTTTCATTTATTGAAACAAAATACCATTTTTTTGGTATAAAATGCCACTTTGTTTTAATTGGCAACTTTTTTTTCCAGTGATAAGTGAAATTATTGTTCTTTAAAAATTTCTTAGTTTTAAATATTTCTCAAAATTTATTTTTGAATTATTAATATATATAGATTCGATTTGTTTTTACATTTTTATATAAATTTTGACAATTACAGAGTTGTCACAGGTCAGAAAAATTAGAAAAATTGAATTTTTACATTTAAATCAAATTTTTTAAATACCTAACTTTCGAAAAATTATTAAAAATAATTGATTAGAGAAGAATTTTAGTTCAATGTTCTAGAAACTTATACTTAATAATTCAAGAGTTACAGTAGAAATTATTAAAAATAAATTAATAAAATTTAGAAAAAAATTGTCTTTAAAAAATCTAAAAAAAATGCTAAAAGATCTAAAATATCTAGAAAATATTTTGCAGAAGTTAGAGTAATAATTTTTATAAATATTTGAATTTTAGAAATGTTCTTGAATTTTTTATGTCACGTTAAAAACTTTTTAAAAATCCCATTTTGCAAGTTTAATAAGAAAAAACCAATTTTTATTGTTTTTAAATTTTATTTTTGTATTTTTAAGTAATTGAATTCTGAAATAACTTTCTGAAAATTATTAAAAATAATTAATTTGGAGAAGAACTTTAGTTAAAAATTCTAGAAAATAATTGAATTTTACAAATGTTACAATAATTATTTTTATAAATATTTAAAATTCAGAATTTCTCTTGTACTTTCTATCTCACGTTAAAAGATTTTTAGAAAATCATAAAGAGTTACATAAAAAGATTAAATTTTTATCTTTCAAAAATTGTATTTTTGTATTTAAATAATTAAATTCTCAAATAACTTTATGAAAATTTAAAAAAATAATCCATTTAGAGAAGAATTTTAGTTGAAAATTCTGGAAAATAATTGAATTTTAGAGAAGCTATAGTATTAGTATTTGAAAATAATTCAAAAGATTTCTAATTAAAATTTTCAAAAATTTGAATTTTGAGTAACATTAATAAAAAAAATTATAAAGAACAATAATTTTTTTGAAAAATTTTAGTTCAAATTTTTTTTGAAATTAATTAAATTTTTGAATTTACATCATTTAACTAATAAACTTTTGAATAATCAAAATTTCATAATATTGAATTGAAAATTGGAAAACAATTAGTTTTTAACAAATTCTATATTCTAAGCAAACTTTCATTTTTATCTAAATAATAATTAGACTCTTATATAGAGCATTCTTAAATTTATTTAAAATAATTGATTTAGACAAGAATTTTAGTTAAAAATTCTAGAAAACATTTGATTATTGGAAGAGTTGCGGTACAAATTTTTAGAAATAATTAAATTTTACAGATTTCAAATTAAAATTTTCAGAAATTTGAATTTTTAGTAATTTTAATAAAAAATTCTAGAGAGGTTAATTTCATGAAAAATTGTAGGTTTAATTTTTTTTAAATTAGTTAAATTTCAGAATTTATAATATTTTATGTTATTTAATTAAAAACCTTAGAATAATCGAAATTTTATTATTGAAAAAATTCAAAACTTTTCTGGAAATCAAGAAAAATTAGGAAATAATAAAAAATCAAATTTTTGCCACAACTCTGATTAAAATACTTTTTCGTCTTTATTTGTACTTTGAATGAACTGAACGATTTTCTTTTACGCCTTTAAGTCCATCCGAGACCTGTAATTTTAATTTCTGAAAGTCAATATTTAAAATTCTTGGATTTAAATCGAATTTTTGGTTTAAATAGCTTCTTTACTTTGTTAAATTTATTTATTATCAAATAATTTTCAATAGTTAAAAATCAAATTCGTAAAGTCATGTGAAAAACTTTTATTTAAAGAATATTATATATACTTTTTTTTTCTTCGGTTCTTTACGCCGTTTTTCTTGTTACTAGTTACGAAACTTGAAGTTTTGAGCGGAATGGTGAAGAACGTGATTAACGTACGGATTTTCGGATAAAGCTGCTTTAGATTGCACAACTCGCACGGCCAAGCTGTCAAAAAACGCTTGGCTCAATTTGCCGTTGCACTAGTAGTCGATTAATCCGACATTTTTTTGCGAACTTGACGTGCCACGAGTGCATATTCTCATTCCGTGCGAATATAAAACATACGTTCCCTCGGGCTCTCGTTTACAATTCGCTCAACCCTTTTTTACATATATGACAATCGATTCGCGAAAAGAATTCCATTTTTCATCGCTCCAAATAAATTCCATAAACTTGTACAATGAAATGAAAAAAATTTTTAATTAAAAATTTATTAACGTTACACAATTTTATTTTACTTTTTTTTTGTAAATAGAATCAATTTTTCCTTTTTAAATTACACTTCATTGGTTTTTTTCGTTTGTTAAAATCTTTTTTTTATACATTGATGTTGAATTGACATCAGGTTAATTAAATTTTGATTATTTAATAATAAAAAGGAATTTTTTCGTTCTATTTTAATATATATTTAATTTACGAATTTTTAATAAAATTCTTTAGATATTTTTGAAATGTCTGGAATAATATTTAATACATAAATACTAATTGAATTTAATTGTTTTTCATTGAATGTAAATTTTTTTGTTTCGAAATTTTCTCTTCTACAATTTCTAAGCGAGTTATCGTTTTTTTTTCTTGCAGACATTACACAGTTGAATGAGCGCTTTCATATTTTAGAAACAAATTTCTGCTTGAAACTCAAAGGAACGAAAAAAGAGAGTGTATATTCTTTTTCTGAAAAGACATTTACTTTACTTTTTCTCTTGTTTTCTTTTTTGTTACACTATGTGCTTAGATTTTTACCACAAAAATAAATATTTTTTGACCCTTTGATAATAATTATGAAAGTTGTCTGTAAAAGCTTGTTTCATGAACCAAAAGGGCGCGAATTTCATACGTTGCGACGTAATTCGGGCAATGGATACAACCACCTTGTCAGGTTAATTAAACGTTAAAGGGAGGCGATTAGTTGGCAAACTCTTCCCCCTTGATGAAAATTTATTATACCCAAAGCGCGGCTACCTACATGAACACGATTAATTTTCAAAAAAAAAAAAACATAACTTATAATATTAAAGAAAATATGTTTTTTTATTATTAACCTTTGTTTTTACTATCTATACAAATTAGAAACATATAATTATTTCTTTCGAGAATTAATATTAAAAATATAGAAATATATTTCCTTGGAATTGAACTTAATTATAAAAGTAATCCGAGAGCAACGTGTTTTCCTTGTCTTAAATAAACGAAGTCGCATGAATTTCCATAAACTTGTTTGTCTCATCTTAATGCGAATTAAGTGATTAAAGTAAACTTTACAAGCTCACTCCACGCGAACGGATGCTGTCAAGTTTGTTTCATACAAGTAAATATTGAATTTGTGCGATTTAATTTGTTTCATTAGAAAAACAAAACTTCGAGATGAATATTTTCTTTGCTTTTCTATATTTAATTCATCATTTTTTCTGTTAAATTATTTAGAGATTTTTGAATATCTTATTTATTTTTTCTCTAATTACAGGCTAATCTATTTTACAATTAAATTCTTTCTAGGAATTTAATTAAAATTATTGTATTAACAATAATTTAATTATTATATTTTGTCAAAATTTTTGAAAACAATTGAATTCCTTTCAAGAATATTATTAAAAATGTTGTAAATAATTTAATTTTCTCAAAGAATTTTATTAAAACTTTAGAAAATAATAATTTAATAATTAGTCAATAAGTGAATCTTTTTAATTTTGAATCTGAAATTATTGAAAAATTGAATTCTTTTGAAAAATTTCATTATTTATAAAAGTAATTGAAATTGTTCGGAAGATTTTTATTAAAATTTTAATAATATTTTTTATTTTTAATAAAATATTCATTGGAGAAATTTAATTGAAATTGCATTGAAAATAATTGAATTGAATAATTTTATTAAAATATTTCAAATACTAAATCCTTTCGAAGGATTATATTAAAATTGTATTGAAAATAATTGAATTTCTGCTAGGAATACATAATAATATAGAATTAATTAGTTAATATCTAATATGTGAATATCATGTTTCGCGCTAGCGAGCGAAACATAATTTGCTAGTAGTAATATAATCACCAATTTTTTATAGTTTTAATTTTCCAAGAATATTTTTATTATAATAATTAAAATAATAATAATAATAATAATAAGAATAATGTTAATAATAATAAATATTTTGATTTTAGATATACGCAGAGCAGAATTTCGACTTGAGATATAAGCGTGTGAAAGCGTTGGTGATACTCATGCTACTCCAATGGTTACTCACGGTACAATTTACGACTTGGCCATTTGGACCCTCGCCTCGGTCGAGTCCCGCGAGTCGACCGACTAACAGGGGTCTTGCAGAACCGAGAGGCATTAATTTCCAGGACTGTCCGACACTTTATGAACGACAATCTGACTACACTTCGTCCACTAAAGGTAAATTCTTAATTATAAAACTTTATTTCTTTCCTACTATTTATTGCAAGGATCACAGACACAGTCACCTTTTCACTTTTTTTTTTTAGAATTTTCTCGCCTTTTTCGTTAATTTTACTCTACTGAAGTTTACAACCTTTATAATTAACGATTTAGAAGAAAAAAATATATTTCGGAGCAAATTTTTATAAACTTTGATATAAAAGAAATTTTTACGTAAAGTTTCTTGGTTCAGCATTTCTAAAAGAAATATTTTTATACAAAAAAGTTTATTATTTTCCTTGTGAGAAATGGAAATTTTATTTAATCGTTGATTATAAATGCTGAAAAATTTTTTTCAAAAAATTTCTCCCTTTCGTTTAGCTGAATATTTTTTCATTGGGTTATGTCTAAAATTTTAGTAAATTTAGTCAAAAATATAGTTTCTAAAAAAATTTTGATAATTAATATCATGAGAATCTTAATTAAAAAATTTTAAAACATTAATCAATTAAAATTGCAGTTGACTCTGAATTTAGTTCGTTTAAAATTTTTAATCTCAGAAATTTCAATTATTCGAATTTTTAACTAAAATTCAGTTGATTTAAATTTTAAATAATATAAATTTCAAATTCCAATATTAATAAATCTAAGAATTCAAAATATTTAAATTATTGTTATAAAAATTGGAATTTCTGGATAATAGCAAATTTTGTCCATAATTTTCTATTGAAAAATTTATTTTAACTCAAAAAATGGAAAAGCAAATTCTATTTTTTTTTCTCAAAATACATTTCAAAGGAGAAAACATTTTTTTATCTAAATAAAAGATATTTATGAAAAAAAATAAAAGCAGTAACGTAACTTGAAATTGGACAAACTTTTTTAAAAAGTGATTTTCAATTTAAAAGAGAAAATTATTGTTTCTTTTTTTAAGTGAATTAAATTGAGTGTTCTAATGACAGTAATTTTGGTGAAGACCAATCAATTTTATTCCATCGTAAGGAATTTGGAGTTGCTTTGTCACCAGGAAAGCGCCACTTGAATTGAAATTCAATTGAAGCAATGAAGCGAAAATCCCTTTGTTTTGTTAAATCGAAGAGCATTTCATATAATTATATAATTTTAAGTTCCATTCTCTAATTCAATAGAATTTGTACTTTAATTGATATTTAATTGGCCCTCATTTGATTAATTATAAGCCCAACTGTTGGATTTTCTTTAAAAAAAATTTCTCACTCCAAAACTTAAATGCAAATTTCAATGATATAAATTTATAATTTTTATTTATTTAATTCGATTAATCAATATTGATTATCAGTAAATTAATTACTTATTTATTTATTGGTAAAATTAAAAATTGGAAATTTAAAATAAAGAAATGAATTAATTATTTATTATAATTGGCAAAATTAAAAATTTTCCATTAATTACTATCTATATTTATGAATTAAAAATACTTTTTGACGTTATTAATTTTTAATTTCATTATTTGAAATCAATTTTTGTAATGGAATTTAACAGAGATTGATTCCTTCATTTTATTACTACATTAATTTGCAATTTGTCTCGTTTGTATGTAATTAAAATTAGATATCTGCATATCTGAAAATGAAATACGATTATTTTTTAATTTTACTGCTGTGGACCTCTCTTTCTCATTTTCTCTCTCTCTCTCACTTTGTAATCATCGAATCACATTGCGATTTACAATGGAGATAATTAACGAGTTGCAAACTAATTGGTGTCACAACCGATCCAGAAATGTTCCAACAATTCGAATCACTTTTATTTCCATCGAGTCTGTACGATCTCCGATAATTAATTAGCGCGACTTTATTGATTCTTTACAATTTACTCGGTATTTTCTGTTTTATTTTACAATTTCATCGTATTTTTCATTTTTTCTGTTCTTTTCCCCTTTGTAACTCATTAGAGAATTCTTTTTGATTTCTTTTGATTTCGCTTTGAAGTTTTTATTTCTTTTTTTTTTGAATTTTGTATGTATTTATTTTTTGTCTCTTTCTCTGTCGTGTGCTTTAATTACTGGTCCTTCATTATAATCCAAAACATTATTATTTCTGCCTGTAATTCCCGGAGGTACAATGGCAGATTTCTGTTTAATTACTGTCTAATTGAACCGTAAATCGTAAAACTGAACATAACATTCAGTGTTTACGTCCGTTAGAAATTTGTTCCAAAAAAGAAAAATACTGTAATCGATATTATACTTGTTTTTGTGAATGTAAAACGAGATTATAAATTAAATTCAGTGTTGAATGAAATTTAAATTCTATAATAAATGGAAGGCGAATTTTTCGGAAACTTCCATTATTCTTTTATTGTGACATTTTTATTGGAATTTTTTATACTGTCTCGGTATTTTAGGGAAATTGGACTCATTTCGTTTTCGAAACGATCCTCTCAAGTATTTGATTAAGTTCAGTAAAAAAAAAGTTCAATGACCATAAGTTTATGGCATTCGTCATAAAAGTTGCGAATCGTTATTTTTCGAAAGTGGGAAGTGTGTCGATAAATTTAATAAAGTGTTTAATGTCGAGTTTATTTTTCTTTCTTTTGCAGTTTAAAAATATCCAATTTGAGGAACAAAAAGGGGGAAAAAAATTATGGCATTCAGTGATCTTCGTCGTGGAAACGATTTTCATATCTCGATAGAGAGAAAAAAGCAAATAACGAGAACCGGATGAATTATGAGGCAGCTTCTTGAAGAAGGTTTGCGGGGAGAATTTTGTCCTTCTGCAGGATCAGATTTTTCACCTACGTGACCTGCCATCTTTATGTCGTGTGCTTAATCTTGACTTTTTCCTGGTCTCGTTTCTTCTTTTTTTTGCCCCCTCATCTTTCTCTTTTACTCTCGATAGTATCTATTTCTTTTTTTTAGGGGGATTTTTTTTGTCCTCATCCATGATTCCTGTGCCAAGACATCCGGGAACGAATTGTACACCATTTTCTCTTTTTTTCTGTTCTTCCATTTTCTTCAGGTTTGGCTAAAATAAAAAATTAGATAACCTCGGAAAATCTCTTAAAACTGAACTCCTCGTGATTTCTTTTTTTTTTCGTCGAAATACTCGGGGGAAATTTTATGTAATTCTTTTTAAAATGGTTTTTAGGGTTTTTTTTGTCTTAAAGTATTAATTAAGCCCTTGAGGTCTTTAATTTTGCTGGGTAGTGATTTTTTTTTCTTTTTGGTGGGAGAAATTATTTTGTATCGTCCTTGGATGAAATGGAAGGAAAATTGTGCTTAGGATTTATTTCGTTCGATTAGTTTGTGTGGTTTCAATTCATTATTGTTGGGGAAAATGGATGATTATGGAGAATAGTTTAGCTATTATTAACAAGCATTCTATTCTGATAGTTTTGTCTTTCATGAATGCAAAATGGTTTTGTATTAAATATATATATATATATATCGGACAAAATTATTGTTGAAATCCAAGCGGATATGCATATACGAGCATGACAATGCATTTTACCAATTTCGCTACTAATAAAAATTTGAAAACAGAATTATTATCAAAAATTGACTTTTTGTACTTGAATAATTGAGTTCTTGAAGAAATTTCACAAAATTATTAATAATAATTGATTTAGAAAAGAAGTTGAGTTTAAAAGTATTTAAATATTTATTTAATAAAATTATTGAATTTTGAATATTTAAAGAATATTTGAATGAAATTGAAAAATTATTTTCAATTTCCCTAAAAAATTTTTTCTCCGTTTTTTCTAATATTAAACTTAACAATGAATGTTTATTTTCATGTTATACATTACAGTTTATTCCTTCAAAACCATTTATAGCTTTTTAGGTTTTTTTAAAATCTTTTTCCACACTCATAATCTCTATTGAAGTTAAATGAATGATTTAAAAATATTTATTTATGCTTCAGGTAAACGAATCCTACAAAAAATACTTTGATTCCTTTTAAATTAAAATTATCTTATTTGAAAAATATTTACAAAAAAAAAAAAATCGAATAATCTAAATGAATAAATTCTGATTGTTTTTATTTTCGTTTATTGTTAATAAAGTGTTAATTAATAAAGCCATTTTACTAGAGCGGAAATAATTCGAATGGAAATGAATCGGAAAAAGGAGAAAAATAAAAAAATAACAAAAATTGGCAATTTATTTACTGTTGAAATAAAAATTTAAAAATTTATTTAATTTACTTTACGACCGTTTGCTATTTGATAATGAATAATTTCTGTCTGCGAGAGAGCGAATATAATTCATTGTCAAATATTATGTCAAAATTTCATGTAATGATTACATAATGACGAATCGTATTTACAATTTCTAAAACAAATATTTGCAAATTTACGTCATTATCGTTGACTATATTGATAGACATTTAATATTTAAAAATCGGACAAAAATTAAAGAATAAAAAAAATAGAAATATGCAAATTTTTAAAATACATTTTCCAAAAAAGAATTTTTTTTTAAAAGAATCGTTTTTGTTGAGAATTTTAAAAAAATACAAAAAATTACATATATAAATTTATAAACGATTGATAAAAGGGAAAATATAGTTGTAATATGAGTAAAGTTCGTTTCACAATTTTCAAGTCCGGCTTTTGCACTTAAACTTTAACCATTTTAACAGTAACTTACTTAACTGAGTTGAAGAAAAATCGTAAAGGAAGTTTCCGAAGGATGTGAGTTGAAATTTACTCATTCCCATAGAGACATACTACCCCACAGCTGCTCGTAAATTGATCACTCGATAATTACCGAACGATTAAAGTGTTTTTCACTCTCTTCTAAACGAGTTATCGTCGTATTGCCCTAACAGTAGTTTTCTCCGTGACAAGTTTCTCCTTCTTTCTTTCTTTTCTCTTTTTCTCCTTCTTCTTCTTCTTTTTTTTCGACGACTCCCTTATAAACTTCATTGCAAATAAGAGGGAAAATCAATATAAAGTAAATTGGAAAAAAATATTACTTTCACCTCGAAAATCTCTCAATTTCAAAATGCAATGAGCTTACAAGGAGATTTATT